GCAGCCATCAGAAATCTAGGAAAGCTCCTATTTTCAACTTCACTCTGCACACATCTGTGGGTGCCCGGTGGTGACCACGCCCTGCTCAGGAAGCTTCTGCAGCCCACGCCACACCCTGACCGAGTTCCCCGGCCAGCCCCGGGAGTGAGGGCTTTCCTCGGAAACTCCCTCTCTCCTGCCAAAGGGCCCCACCCAGGGGAGGGCACCACCCTGGCCCCAGAGACGGCCCCAGGCAGCACGTGGAGGTGGGGACAGGGTGGCTGGCCCGCAGGATGACTCAGTGGGGAGGGTGTCCCCCTCTCCCCGCCAAGGGGCTGTGCGCCCCCACAACGGTCTCACTGCCCACGGGCGATCCCCCCTCTGGGTCAAAAGGGCCACGGGGGTCTAGCCGGCGTGTTCACACTGGCCTTCCCGGGACCAGGAACGTGGGGGCGCACTCAACCAGCGTGTGCTCGGTGAATGAAGCTCCTGGGCGGGGGACAGAGCCGTGGCTGATTCATCCATGAGGGACAAAGGCACGTTCCCCACCTCCAGTTGGGTTCACACAGAGCAGGGGGGCTCCGGAGGCAGGATGCCTGAGTAGCACCTGGGCCTACCACCTCCTGCCTGGTGGCCTGGGGGGAGGGATGAGCCCCGTGGCCTGTGTCCTCATCAGCAGGAGGGGGAGGTATCAGGCCAGGCAGGTTTCCAGGACTCAGTGAGAGACGCCCCGCAAGGCCCTCAGGCCGCTGGATACGCACTCAGCACCGGTCCGGTCCACGGCGGCCGACCCCAGGCCCCTGGGTATCAGCCCACAGGGCTGGGGGCCGTGTGAGACTCTAACGTAAAGCTGGGCAAGGGGCCAGTCCTTTTTACAGTGCCTGCAGGTGGCCCTGACCTCTCGGGGAGGATCAAAGAGCAGCTAGCAGGGGGCTGAGGCCTTCCAGGGATGAGACCCAACTCATGTGGGGTGAAAACCCCCAAAGAGAGCCAGGGTGTTGGCTGATTTAAATCAGCAGCATTGATGAGCCTGGAGTGACAGACCCTTGGCGAGGTGGCTGCCTGGGAGGCGGGAGGGCTCTGGCCAAGACGTAGCTGCTTCAACAGCACTGTTCTGATTCTTGTTCTGGCTGTGCATTATTTATTTCATGATTTTCTTAAAAAAAACCCCAAAAAACACCACCCAGTTTTGTCTCCACATGGGTAAAATTTTAGGTTTGAACGACTAATGGCGTAAACGTGTCACTCTGGGAGCGAAAGCCGTGTGCCGGGGACCGTGAACCCTGGGGCCCGTGGGTCCCCTGGGGTCTCTGCGGAATCCTGGTCCCCTCCCATCATTCGGGGCCTCCCCCTACCCTGTACCCTGGGACGAGAGCAAATGTCACGTTGATAGCCGGCTCTGGTCTGGGCGAGCACACACCTCTCCCCGTGGGCCTCCCTGACCTCTCCCGCCTCAGCCTTCCGGAACTTACCATGAAGACAATGGAGACCAAGTTGGTGACGTAGGCTGGGAACCGATCTCTCCAGGTCAGCTTCACCTTGTCTGTCTACAACAGGAAACAATGTTGGGTCACCTGGTGGGAACCGTCGCGGAGGAGAGAAGTCTGCGCGCGCGCGGTGGGGCATGGGTGAACGACTTGGACAGACAGAAATACTCAGAACACCTTTGAAAAAAAAAAAAAGCTTGCGGGTGATGCGTGAAAGCAGACGCCTAGCGTCCAAGGAGGGGCCTGGGGTCTTACCACCTATCAGACGATGTCATGTGACAGAAAAAATAGCGTTTAAAAACGTGGTTCGTCTGTGTCCAGGGCGTAACAGACCCAAACACCTTTCTAAAGGAGGCGCTTAGGCCCACGTCTGGGAGAAGAAGCCTGCGTCTGCGGCCAGAGTCTCCCGTGGAAGGCGAGAAGATCTAAGAGGTCTTGCCCTCTGCCACCCAGACCATAATAGTTATTTTTCCCTCTGCAGGGCAAGCCGAAACAGGCAACTAGCATTCCAAGGTAAAAACACTTGTTGCCGCGTAGCAATGGCGAACCGCGGCGACTCGTGGCCCCAAGGCTCCCTGGCTCAGGGACGGCCCCGTCTGGCGGGCCCGTGAGTAGCAGCAGCTGGTCACCAACCCACGAGGTTCCAAGAACGGGGGCAGGTTTCTGGACGGGGACACGCACGTATCAGGTCAGACGACACTGGCGAGGGCGCCGCACGGGACGCCGTGCGCTCCGGGGCCGGGTGGCATGCGTGTTAATGGAAACGCGACAACCGCTGGCAGGCAGCCGTGACAAGCAGGACTCACGAGCTCCAGGCAAGGCCGGAGCCCCCCCCGCCCCCCCCCCCCCCCCCCCTGCGCAGACCCACTGGAGCCATGCAGTGACATCTCAACACACATGGGCATGGCTCGACGGGTGTGGAAGGAAAGCAAAGAGGCGTGAACGTGAGTGTTAAAGAAAAGAACACAACAGACTTCGTGGAGGAAACACACAACGGACTTCGGTCGTCGGCAAACAAGTCAAGACTCGCGTTGCCCCCGAAACAGAAAAGTACCAATTTCACCCCCGCCATGGCTGTCTTAACCCTCTGCTTCCATTTGTTTGTTGACTCCTCTGGAATATGCCGGCGCTTCTGGGGGCGGGTGGAGGGAACAAGAGAGCACCGTGGGGTGAAGCGCGACGAGGCTCGGAGGCCGCGGGGGCCAGGCCGATTCGGGTTCTGAGCGTTTGCAACCAATAAGAGATGGCAGCAAAGGTCGGGGAACGGGAGACCGGGCTTTCGCGATGGCCTCAGCGGGGAAAGGCTGGCAAGGCTCTGAAGCGCCCGCTGGGGACGTGGCCACCGTCATCTCCACGGCGCGCAGCATGCAAAGACAGGTTACTCTGAGCGGTTTACAGCGGCGAAGGAAGCCACGCCCAGAAGTGCAAGTTCATAGGCCAAGTAAGGGGTGGGTCTCTTTTTCTCTGGTAACTGAATCTGGTGCCAGAGCTGGGGAACAATTACAACCATAAAGTAGCCGCTAGGGGCCCAAGGAAACCGAGGAGAAAATCCGGGGCGTGCCCGCCAGGAGCATACGGGCCCTGGGGTCGCCATCAGAGCCCTGCGTGAAGGAACCAGGTACCTTTGCTGTTCTCACGATCACAGCCAAGAGGCGGAGTGACAGGGTCCGGGAGGCGCCCCTGGCACGGCTGCCCAGATCCGCTGTTGGGGCTTGGTTGAGTCCCGCGACCTCAATGGATGTCACGGGTGCCACAGAGCCTATTGCTAAGAGGTGCCACCGTGAAGCCACGGGGTGGACTGTCTCGGGGGCCGCACATCCGACACAGGCTGGGGGTGGGGGATGCTGCACGGAACACGGGTCTTGGCGGCCCACAGTGAGGTCTGTGGGGCTTCCTGGACAGCGGTGTCCAGGCCTCTCCCTTTAGGAGAGGGAAATGAGGTCGAGAGAGCCTGATGGGGCTGATCAAAGCTGCTGGGCACCTGCTCCAGACGCAGTGTGCACGGGGATGTGCATTCGTTTTGATTTAACTGAAACAATGACCTCATTTGGGGTGACAACTCACGCCCGTGTGGCTATTTGCAGACTGGAGTCCCACTCAAACCCCAAGAGCGCGCACCCCCTTCCTGGGTGCAGCGGGACTAAGCCGGATTTCTGCCACGTTCCGGGAACTGTGGCCCGAGACCAGGGTTCTGGTGCGCTCACTTTATCCCCCAGAGGGGACCGTGCCAACTGCCACCTCTGGCCGCTCGGAGCGAGCAAACCCCGTCCGCGTGCCTCAGTAGGAAGATAAACCCAGGGGTCCGCCTCAGCAGCCCCAGAGGCTGGGGGGTGTGAGTGTGGACCGCGGGGCTCAGGGAACGTCTCTCTCCCACCCTTCAAGGACAGACACAAACTTCCCCAGCCGCAGGCGGAGGCTGACGGGGGCCAGCGCCCTGCCCTCCGGGCTTGTTCCAGGGCACGTAAAACACCTTCCTAAGAAAACAGCCACGCGCCTCTAGAGGTGGGCCAGAAATCAGTCTGCAAACACGAGACAGCCCATTTGAATGAGAGGTTTGGGGAGAAGCAAAGTCCCTGATTATCAACAGGTCGTCATCTTGAGACCAGTGTGGAGCACTTCTCTCTCGCCCCCACGTCTGGGGGGGAAACAGGGAATTGGCCGTGTGCTCAAGGGTGCTGGCTGGGCAACCCCTTCCTTCAACACGGAACACAAGGGCTGGACATACTGAATGTCAAGCGTCCTGTGAAAAAGCTCCACGGCTCCCTGGCTCCTGGTGTGGACGTGTTGGCTGAGGTCTGAGACGCCCCTAGGATAGATCAAGGAGGGGGACCCACAGCAGAGTTCGGAAAACTTTGGCCTGTAGGCCAAACCTGGCCCCTTGCTTGTTTTTACAGATGAGGTTTCACTGGCTCACTTGTCTACCTCTTGTCTATGGCTGCGGTTCACCTACAAACAGAAGAACCGAGTGGTCGTGACCGAGCCTAAGATATTTACTCTCTGGCCCCTGTCTGGGGTCCGGGCCCTGGTCTCCACCGCCGACGGGCGCACAGTGTTTTATTACTAGGAAAGCCACCTGGGCTGTGGCCGCCGTACCTCTTTGCTTTTGGATTCTTTCCTAAGTGACTTCTCCAAAACTCTGGCTTCGTATTCGGCTCTGGGATGGTCCTGTGGAAGAAAACCAAATCCACGTGGGGCCTCGTTAACTGTGAGTTTGAGCGCCTCGGCACAAGCCCACAAGACAAACTCAGCCCTTGGCCTCGGGCGCCCCGTGGGGGCAGTTCGTAGCTGGCTGCTGCCCTGTGCCCACCCGGGACTCTCCCCCTCGCTGGGAACCCCGGCCCCCTGGCGTCCGCGTCCGGGAGGCAGGTCGTGTGTGCGAGGCTGCGGCCAGCCCAGCACCCCCCCCCGCCCCCACGTTCCCGTTGCGAGCACCCAGCCACGAACTGGCCCCCGACATGGTTCTGGCAGGAGCCGTGGGGGTCGAAAGAGACGGCAGTGAGCATCAGCGAGTGCGGGCAGACGAGAGGCGCCGGGCCCCAGGCGAGCCCAGAGCAGGTCAGCGAAGGGGGTGCTGGAAGGAAGAACGAGGGTTAAGAGAGGCCCGGAGGAGGGGGAGGAAGCAGAGACCCCTGCCCACGGTGGAAGCCGGGAGCTGGGCAGCACAGACGCGTCAGTGTGCGAGAAGGTCCCTCTCCCAGGAAGACAGGCCACGGGCAGACAGCGGAGTGACAAAAAATCCAAACCTTGACGGCCTCCTTCGGGGCACCAGGACGTAAAAACAAAGACAAAAAGATCGCGTTACTTTGTGCTGTTTTTTAAAGATAGGCTGCGTCCTCTCGAAATCGTTTTCTCAAGAACTAGGAAGGAGGCAGGTACGCGCAGTGGGCGAGGCGGGCACGGGGGTGGGACCGGCCGTAGCCGTGGCCGCCCGGGTGGCTCCTGCAGCTCGTGGGGTTTTGGGGGCCCCCAAGAGCCGGATGTCGGAGACCGGGGGTAAGGGCATGCGGGCCAGCCAACTGTGCTGGCTGCCGGCCCGGGGCTCAGACCCCCACAGAGGAACTGCCTTCCCACCGGTGACCAGCTCCCGGCCAGCTGTGGGGGGCGGGAGGCTCACTCCGGGGAACTCATTCGGGCTGGGGACCAGTGTCCAACGTCCCCGAGGGGTAGAACAAAGGGGGCTGCCCCTCACCCCGGACCCCACTCTCCTTCAACCACAGGCACGTCATTCTAAATCTTCTTGAAGAAGAAGAAGAAGACTGCTTTCTGTGCTACTCGAGTATTTCTATAGAAAGTTACAAGGAAGGCAGCTTGCCCGGCGGACGTCCAGGTGGATGGCCGGGCCGTGGGGGCAGCGTGCTGGGTTCCATGGGGGGCAGCACCCCTAAAGAACTGCCCGCCGGTGGTGGCTAGCTGGGGGCCCGGTTCTGGGGCCTTTCCCGCGGCTGGGCCCTGCTCCAGATCTGCTGACCCTTCAAGATCCCCTCAAACCCCACCGAGTGAGGACTATTCCTCAATCTGTATTTGAGAGGCGAGGACACTGAGGCACAGAGACTCGCCCAGGTCACAGGGCGAGGGCGGTGCTGCATCGGGACGGGACCCAGTAGCCCGGCCCGAGAGGGCGATCTTGTCTCTCTAAGCCGCTGTGGTTCTCTCACCCCCTTGCCTACCGACGGCACAGGCAGCACAGAGGCGGCACCAGCCTCCCCGGCTGACCAGCGGCGGGCCCTTCAGTCCCAGGAGGGAGCGCGGTGTATGGAAAAACACAAGAGGGATGTTAAGAAAATCAGTGGAAGGGATTTCCCCGTCACAGTGAAAGTGCAGGAGAGGCTTCTTTAAAAAAAAGAAAAAGCACGTAGGGCCGCCTGGTTGCCTCAGTCAGAAGAGCATGTGACTCTTGAACTTGGGGTGGTGAGTTCGAGCCCCATGCCGCGGGCAGAGTTTACTTTAAAGATAAAATAACATAGGGGCGCCCGCGGGGCTCAGTCGGTTAAGCGTCCGACTTCCGCTCAGGTCATGATCTCGTGGTTCACGGGTTCGAGCCCCGCATCGGGCTCTGTGCTGATGGCTCAGAGCCTGGAGCCTGCTTCTGATTCTGTGTCTCCCCCTCTCCCTGCCCCTCCCCTGCTTGCACTCTGTCTCTCTCAAAATAAAATGAAATAAAATAAAAACATCAACAAGACCCATGAAAACTAAAAAACAAGAACGTGTTTTGTAAAAGGAAGCCGTGGTCGTGGGGCCACACGATGAAGCTCCGTCCTGTGCTGCAGCTGTGTGTGGGGGCCGCTTTCCTCTTTAGTCCCTCCCACCGCCCCCAGGGAATCCTGGCCGGAGCTACTGATCCGGGGCGGGGCAGTGGCCAGGGGCTTTGGGGCAGGGGTCTCCCCAGCCAGGCCTGACTGCAGGCAAAGAGGATGGCCGGCCCTCCCAGACCCTCCAGGCCGCCCCAGACGTGACGGGGTCGGTGCGGGGAGCCTGGGCACGTCCACGGGAGCTTCGAGATCACAGACTCGACCAGACCCCGCGATCTCAGGCTGCCCTGTGAGTCCCCAGGAGGCGACCGGCTGGGGGCAGGGGTGGGGCGTGGGGATCGCAGGGACAAACCCGCTCACCTCCTCTTCCTCGAAGCCGGTGAGGTCCCAGCGGTAATTGAGCCGCATCTGTTTCCGCTTCCAGTGCTCCATGAAGGTGGCGGCTGCAGGCAGGGAGGGAAGGACAGGGGCACTCTCGTCCTCTGCACCATCTGGCCAGCGAGGGTGACGACATTCTGGACCGAGACCTTCACGCGAGTTCACCCGTTCTGCCTTCCCTCAGACCCCACAGGACAGGGACGCTCACTCTCCCATTTTACAGATGGAAAAACCGAGGCACAGGAAATCAAGTCCCGGCCAAGGTTACTCAGCCAGCCAGGGAGGGGCCAAGCAGGCTGGTCCCAGAGCCTGTGCTCCTAACATCCTGCTCTGTCAATCCTGAGGACCCCGGGTCACAGGTGGGTGTCTTGAGGTCACAAAGGGCGCAGCATGGGCCAAGGTCACTCACTCCAGCTTCACGGCCGTGTAGACAGTCTGACTGCTGAGCTGCACTCTTAGCTGTAATCCCAACAGACTAGACACAGTTCAAACGCTGCCTCCTCCAGGAAGCCCCTGATCATCCCCCTCAGTGTCAGAGAAAACCCAACTCTTCTTGGGACCTCTCTTGCTCACGGTGTCCACACCACCTTCCATATGATCCCTATCCCAGGACGGGGGCCCTTCCGCAGAGTGGCGCTCGGTGAATGAATGAATGGCTCTTAGCGCACAACAGTGGGGAATCATCTATTATCAACGACCCTCCTCCCGGAACGACAGTCAGCGGAGGCTGAGGGCTGGAGGGATGATAAGGGTGGTCATCACGTCAATCCGAGCTCTGAGCTCTGAGCTCGCGGGTGCCCGGCACTGTCTTGAGACCTGTCACAGGAAGTAGTGACCTTATTTAAACCTCCCGGGGGGTGCCTGGGTGGCTCAAATGTCTGACTTTGGCTCAGGTCATGATCTCATGGCTGATGAGTTCGAGCCCCACATTGGGCTCCTCACTAATGGTGCAGAGCCTGCTTGGGATTCTCTCTCTCTCTCTCTCTGTGCCTCCC